TCCGGTGGTTTTTCTTCTTCGTTTTCGCCGCTCGCTCTGCTAGGGTTTCACATTTCCCTCGTTCGCTAGCTTGGAAGCCGTGAGACGATGGCGTTTGATGATCCGGAGTATGCGCAGACCGAAGAGACCTCAAAAACAGTATCAGAAGAGGCTGAGAAGACAGAGGTTGAGCAGCCATTGAAGTCAAAGAAGCAGAGGAAGAAGGAGGAGAAGAGGATGAAGGAGGGCATTGAAGAGGAAAACTTGTCCTGGTAATTGTCATCGTTTTATTTTAAAGTTATTTATAGGTTATTAGTTTGATTATTATTGGGTTATTCTTGAGTTACTCCGAAACTTAGTTCTTATTGGCAGTTATTCCATGTTATTCTTGTGTTATTTTTAAATTATTTGTAGGTTATTTATAAGTTAGGCGTATCTTATTCGCTGGTTAAACCTGAGTTATTTTTAGGTTATTTTTCATGTTATTTGTAGGTTATTTATAGGTTATTTGTAGGTTATTTATCAGGTTATTCGTAGGTTATTCATAGGTTATTGTTGGGTTATTTTTAAGTTAACTCGTGAGTTATTTTTAGTTTATTCTCAGGTTATTCCTGGGTTATTTATAGTGTATTGTTCTGTTAATTTTGAAGTAATGCGTATGTTATTTTTAAGTTATTTGCAGGTTTATGCGCAGGTTATTCTTGGGTTATTCCTAGGGTATTTTTAGGTTATGTCAGGTTATTCGTAGGTTAGTTGTACGTTATTTTTAGTGTATTGTTTTGTTAATGCTGAAGTAATGCGTAGTTTTTTTTTTTAAGTTATGAGTAGGTTATTGCTAGGTTATTCCTGAGGATATTTTTAAGTTATTTTTAGGTTATTCCTAGGTTATTCCTGGGTTATTTTTAAGTTATTTGCAGGTTTATGCGCAGGTTATTCTTGGGTTATTCCTAGGGTATTTTTAGGTTATGCCAGGTTATTCGTAGGTTATCTGTACGTTATTTTAAGTGTATTGTTTTGATAATTCTGAAGCAATGCGTAGGTTTTATTTTAAGTTATGAGTAGGTTATTGCTAGGTTATTCCTAGGATATTCCTGAGGATATTTTTAAGTTATTTTTAGGTTATTCCT